TAAAATATATTTATATATAATATAAATAGAGAATATTATGTAATAGCTACATAATATTAATTATATATTACATCACTACTAAGATGAACAATAATTCCCTAAGATTATCTAATTTCTACGTTCATATTTTCTCATTTTTCCACTAAAACTTTTATAGGAGTTTTGTTTTTCAAGATTTAAGAGTCCACTTAAATTTGGAGCAGTCTTTCACTTTTTTTTTTTTGCCTGATATTGACATTCTTAAGAAACTGGGTTGTTTTGTACATCATCTCATGTTCTGCATTTGTCTCAATATTTCTTTATTATGACCTTTAATTTACTCTTCAATCCCCTATGGTTTCTCTAAACTGGAAGTTGAGTCTAAAGACTTGTTCAGATTGAATGGAATATTGTGGCAGGCGTGCTCTGTGGAATTGCTGGTCACCTCCTATTGCATCTCTTCAGGAGACACACATGCCAGATTGCCACTCCCTTAGTTATGCTGTTCTTTAACTTGGTTAGGGTCATAACCTCCATATCACCGCATCTCAATAGTTCACTTTTCCCTAGGAAATTAACAGATAACCTGTAGGGTAATACTTTATCACATTGCCCATTACTAACCAAGTAAATTACTTCAATCATTTTGCAAAATGCTGATTTTCTAACTCTCTCATTCCTTCTGCATGTATCAACCTTCATTCTTCTGTTAGAATTAATTGCCAAGGCATCATACTTTATGTTACAGATTTTTCTCTGGAAAAAAAATAACTAAAGCAAAAGGAAACATAACTCCAAAAACAGGGCCTATTTCAAAGTTAATGAGTCATTGAAAGAGACTTTTGGCCAGGTACACTGGCTCATGCCTATAATCCCAGCAAGTTAGGAGGCTGAGGTGGGCAGATTGCTTGAACCCAGGAGTTCAAGACCAGCCTGGGCAACTTGGCAGAGTCCTGTCTTTACAAAAATCATATATATAAAAAATTGCTGGGCACACCTCACCAGAGCCCAAGAGGCTGCAGTGAGTGTGGTCATGCCACTGCACTCCAGCCTGGGCAACAGAGTGAGACACTGTCTCTAAAAAAAAAGAGATTTTTCTTTCTACCTCAGTCTCTGACTTTTAGCATTAATATTAATTTAAAGTATCAGAAGCACTCTTGAAAGTATTAAAGAGAGTTGGGTGAAATTTTCCAGCTCACTTTCCCTGGGAAACTAATACTTTTTATTTTTAAATGTTTACTTTTTTTTTTTTTAAGAAAGAACTAAAATTCTGTGGCCCATAAATCCTCAATTTCAGGTTTTATGTCTCTCTTACTCTTAGGTATATTTTGGAAAATTTAATCTTTGAAATTGTTCCTTGAGGGGCATGTTTCACATACGCTTTACTCCTTTTCTTTCTTCTTCTTTATTTAAAAATTTTCCTTTTTTTCCCCAAAGATGTGCTTTTGGAATGTGTTTAGGCTAAGAGGGAAATGTCTTTTGTCATTTTAATGGAACACTTCGATTATTGCTAAGCAGCAAATTCCATAGACGCATGGCAAGAAAGTGGTCAATTTATCATAGTTTGCTATGCAATGCTCTTGGTTGCCCACTTCAGACCTAGTTTAATACATCAGTGGAGAGAGTTGAAATAAAGCAGCAATAGGGTCAAGGTGATGGGGAAACAAGAGGAGGGATTGGTATTTGTACTCTAAACTGCCCTGATCTTTAGATCGGCATTTAGCCTGGACTTCTGATATTGGACCCCTTCCTTTTCCCATATTCAGATGCTGCTCTAGATTTAGACTGTCATCACTGAAGTCTAACTTGATATTCATGTAGGCCCTGTTACCCTTTCTGTGACCATGACCCAAGCCTGAAAGACAGCTCACTATCCATTGCCCAGAATGTCATCTAACTCAGCTATGAGCACTGCAGTGTGCTGGACCCTAGGGGGGTCTGGAGGCTTAGGGGACTCCAGATGAGCCTTCCTGCCTCTGTGCAACTGACATCCTAGGAGGGGTAGAAAGACAGCAAATGAGAGAACAGATATGATAGTTTTCAATAGTGATGATTCTGTAAAGAAAATTAAATAAGATGATGTGATGAAGGGTGAGGAAGGTATTACTATAAAGAAGGTGGCCAGAAAGAGACTCTCTAAGATGATGAGAAGAAATCAGCCATGCATCTGGGAAGCGGTGGGCATGCCAACCAGAGGAAACTGCAAGTGCACAGCTTCCAAGATTGGAATGAACTTGACGAGTCAAGGTGGCAGAAAGAAGACTATGTGGTTGGAGCATGATAAACAAGAAGTGAACAGGGTTCTGATCACATGGGTCTTTTCAGGCCAGGCTGAGGACTTTGCAATTCATTCTAATTGCAAAAGGAAGCCATTAGCATGTTGCAAAGGAGATGGCATGATCCGATGTATGTGTTCAAAAAGATCACTCTGGTTGCTGTGTGAAAAATGGACTTGAGCTGGGGCAAGTAGGAGCAGGAAAACAAACTGGGAACTGTAGTGGTCTCCAGACTGAGATATGGGCAGCTTCATTTTCAATTATGAATGGTTCCATTTTGTTCTCAATGGACATGGAGGAGAATACTTACTGCCTTCTGGAAATTAAAAATTTTGGTGTCTGAGAATGTCAGGAAGTGTGATCAGAGAGTATGGTGAATAAGAAAGAAAATAGATTTTATTTAACTACATATGATATGCTTGATTTAGTGAGATAATGTACCTCATAAACAAATATTGAGTATCCATAAACAAATACTGAGTGTTGTCTCTGTGCCAAGCATTGTTCTAAATGTCACCAAAACATGTAAGTGTTTCATTCCCTATTTCATTATTTTATAAATTATCATTCAATAAAAAATAAAATCATACTTGGACAATAATATGTTTAATAGTTGACAGTTATATCTTGTGTATCTCCAATATTTATATTCTCTACCATGTATCCCCTCTGAGCTACTCCCAACTCTACCTTCAAATTCTGTTTGTTTTGAAATGAAATAATACAGAATAGAAAAGAATGTTTTTAAAACACTGAAACCCTTCACAAACATAATATGATTAGTAGCAGTACATTTTAGACTGGCTTTCAGATCCTTACTAATGACTGTATACATGAGTCATAGCAGTTTAAACTTTTTTAGAGTATAAATGCTCCATCTCACCATTCTCTGCTCCATCCCCTCCTCGTCCTCCTGTTCCACCCCTTGCAGGGCTAGAGACCACCTCAGACCAAATCAGACGTGCAGAATCAGATGCTGTCTTTATTTTAAATTGATATTCTGTTAAATGTCAATTTCTTGCATTAATTGTAAAATTTTTAAAATGTTACATTAAAATATTACTTATCTTGACTACTGAGATTTCTGGCACCTCTTTAAGTTTTGCAACTGAGGCATTTGCCTCTCTCACCTCAGGCTAATTCCTGCTTTGCTCCCTTCAGATATATCCCCTGCTCCTGCAAACTCCTATAGCCCAAGTCAAGCCCAGGGCCTATAGGTGTATTTTCCTTTTTATTTTATTTATTTATTTATTTATTTTTTGAGATAGGGTCTCACTCTGTCACCCAAGCTATAGTAGAGTGGCATAATTATGGCTCACTGCAAACTCTGCCTGCCAGGTTCAAGTGATCCTCCTGCCTCAGTCTCCCAAGTAGCTGGGACTACAGGCACGCACCACCATGTCCAGTTAATTTTTGTATGTTTTTGTAGAGATGGGGTTTTGCCATGTTGCCCAGGCTGGTCTTGAACTCCTGAGCTCAAGCAAGCCACCTACTACAGCCTCCCAAAGTGTTGGGAGTACAGGCATGAGCCACCACACCTGGCCCTGTTGGTATATGTTGAACAGACTTTCTGTGTGCATCTGATATAATCCTAGATTTAGAGATGCTACAGAGGAGGACGGCTGTAATGGCATCGTTTGTAGAAGAAATTTACATTGATATTGACCTGGCAGAAGTATTTCCAGGTCCTTTTAAATAAGTAGTTTTAGGAAAGATGTGGTAGTTTAAAAATGTTTCAAATAATGTGAGGAGCTTTTTAAATTAATTTATCTTATTTATTTCCTTTTATACCTCCTTTAAGGTAGAAAGAGAGGGAGGGACAAGACAGAGTCAGGAACAGGGCATTGACACAGTTTGAAGGCATCTGCTAGGACTGGAGTGTGCATTCTTTGCCTGGAGAATGATAGGTTTGGGTCCACAGCTCACAGACTTATGTCATAAGAAGGCTCAGCTAGACACATGGGTCATTGTGATTCAAGATGAATTGAGCCTTCACAGTTTCTAGAGGACCACCAGAGTAGTAGTAGTGAAGTTGAAAGGATGAGAACAATCTGTCTCTCATACACTCTGGGTTCTGGGTCATTTCATTTCCTCAGAGTGGTTTGACTCACCCTCTCCTTAATTTTCTTTGCAGAGCAGCAGAATCAGAATAAAACTACCTGGGTTTGAAACCCCACTCTTCCCTTGCCTCCTGTGTGAACTTGGGCTTCTCTCTGAAGCTCAGGTCTCTCATTTGTAAAGTGATGATAACAATTTCTCCTTCAACAGGTGGTCATGATATCCATAAGGGCTCGCATGACCTAGTATGATAGGCATTCTGTAAATGTGTGATAATGAGTTTTTCTAAACTATGTCAAGAGATTTTTGCACATTTCTAATTGTTTTTTGTCAGGTGATGCATCAAAGCAGGTATCTTTTACATGCCTATTAGTTATTCTTAGTTATCCACAACATCTAAGACCTTGTACTTAATACTAATCTTGCACTTACAGATATTGGAGATAAACTATATGAAGCAACTAGCACAGGAGAATATCCTAGGGTTTTAGGACACAAAAGTTCTAAATTGCAATTTCAATCTCAAACCAAAATAATATCTGAAAGGCATGTTAAACATTAGTTGGTAGAATGTAAACCATTTGTTTAATTATTCTTGAAGAAATATTATTTAAAGACAAAATAAAACTTAAAAAAGTTCATTGATTTATGATTGAAGTTTGAAATATTTTCATCTTTTATCTTAAGGTACTAAATCAAACTTCTCGACTTGAGATACAGCTGCTGGAGAATTCATTATCAACCTACAAGCTAGAGAAGCAACTTCTTCAACAGACAAATGAAATCTTGAAGATCCATGAAAAAAACAGGTGAGGATTGCTTTATTCCAAAAATGTTTCCGTGTGTACTTATTTATATCCTTCACCTCTCTGCCAACTCTTAAACAAATACGGTTGAGGTGGTTTAAAAACTGAAATATAGAGCCAAATTAATATTAATATAAAAAGAAAGGAGAGCTTAAGGTAAATACAGCTAGTATGTCAGTAATAACTTAATACTGTTGCTGATAGTCTTGAAATATTTGCTTTTTATAACTTTTAACATTAATTTCTCTAATGGTTAGTAGTTCAAATCTCACTATATCTACAAAAATTTGATTCTATGACTAAATTCAGTGACATAAAGTATTGACATTTTTCAGCATAATCAAAACCTGTAACAACAGAGAATAGAGCCTCTTAAATTCCTACTCAACCCCCCAATTCTTAGGCTTTTACAAAGCTACAGGGTTGCTGAATTCAGAAATATAGCACTAGAGAGAAGGAAAATGTATATTTTTTCTAGAAAATAATTTACCTATAAAGCTGATCAAGGGTTTGGGTTTTCAGTTTTCATTTATAGCTATTTACTTTGGACATAGTAAATGTCTTTGTTTAGCTTTATAGATGTTATCACACCATCTTGTTTTATAAATGATGAATCATTTCAGTTGATTGAATTGGAACTTAGACATCTTGAGAGCTGGGACAGTGAAAGACTATTATTTTGAAGTCATTAACATTGATGATGAAAATTCAAAACATTGACTTCCTTAGGACAAGTTTCTTGCATTAAATTGAAATTTCTTCTGGGTATCTGGATAACTTGAAGAAGGTTCAGTTCCTATGCATAATATTGAGTTAAAGACCACTGTATTGATAGAAACTGGTTAAATGCCATTGAATTGGTGGCACTAGAGTTCCCTTTATATTCCACACCAGGAAGGCACCTAAGAGGACTGCTAGTTCTGTTCTTTACAAGTGAGGGAACAGAGACTCAGTGGAAGGGAGTGACTTGTCCAGGGTCATACAGCTTGCTAGTGGCAGAAATTGGAATGTAATTTAGGTGTCTTTGCTGCTAGTCCTCATATTTCCATTATAACACATGGCCTCTTCATACTATCTACAAACTAAAAGAATTTCCCAACTTCATGCTAAAAATAGAGCATAATGTCAACAATTACAATTAAACTGCTGCATGAAAAATACAAACCTGGCTGTTGGTTTAGAATCTGAAAGGGATCACTCATGCTGCATGACTTGTATTTCTAAGTGTTACATTTATTTATCCTTGCACTGTGACATGGGGTTAACTGTATAACTACAAATAAACCTGACAGGACTTGGCCCTGATTGCATGATTAAATGTTCTAGAATTAACAATCCTGTTGAAATATACCATTTATTCCCCTGCAATTTCACAGTAACCAGACTTATATGTGTATGTAACAAGTATACTTTACTTCAATCATCCCTTAATCTAGGGTCACCCCTTTATGGTTCAATTTTGTCACCAAAAGTGAACCACATTTGCAGTCATATTTCAAAATGCTATTTGTGAATACTTTGTCCAGGAATCATGGATAAATAAAACAATGACAATTTCCCCTTATTTTTCTCAGTTGTTGTTTGCTTTTATAATTACACAAATAGCACATTTATTATAGGATAAGGAAAAAAAAGAACACACAGGAAAATTAAAAACCACAGCTTTATCATACAGAAAGAGCTGCCTATTTTGCTTCATGTTATATATAAATATCATTTTCACAAAAAGTTCTGTCATACCTTACACATAGTCTGGAAGTCTGACTTCTTTGGAGATAGATATCATTTTACATTAATAAAATATTCTCTAATATTCTTAGTAACTTTGTATTTCATTTTACTAGTATAACCTAAGGTGGTTTGAATCTATCTCTCAGTAGTTATGTTACCGCCTGATTTATTTCTGAAAGAGTCGCCCCCATGGATTTACGTTCTTTAGTTCTTCCCTACTGATCTGCATATTATGTCTTTGTCTGTATCTGACCCTTAAGCTGTCGTGATACCGTAATATAAACTGGGAGGCATGAAAAGTCTCCTCCCTAACTGCAAAAACAAATGCCATCTTTATGTACCAATTGTACTCAGGTACTCTGTCTCTTTCTCTTTCCTTCCCTCCTTCTCATATTTTTCCTTCCTTCCTCCTTCCTTCCTTCCTTCCTTTCCCTTCTCTTTCTCTCTCTTTCTTTTTTCTTTCTTTCTTTCTTCTTTCTTTCTTTCTTTCTTTCTTTCTTTCTTTCTTTCTTTCTTTC